GAGTGTGTGCTGCTATCAGACCTTTTCTACAAGATAAACTGAAGTTTGAGACTTCAATACCTCCTTCTCATTATTGGACCAGAACTAGGAAGAAGGTCAGCAAGGAAACAGAAGACTTGAATAACATTACAAACTAACAAAACCTAACAGACATCTACAGAACATCTGAAGTGATTAAATTAATACTCAAAAACGTGCCTCAAAGAAAAGCCCAGGCCCAAATAACTTCACTAGTAAATTCTACAAGATAGTCAATGAGGAGTTAACAAAAGTCCTTCATAAATTCTTCCAAAATGAAAAAAACACCAATTCAATCTATGTGATCATAATACTAAAACCACACAAAAATATCTCAAGAAAACTATACACCAGTATTTATTATGTACTATAAAGAAAAATCCACAACAAAATACTAACAAATTAAATCTAGCAACATATAAGAGGATTATATACCTGGGTTTATCTGAGAAATGCAGAGTTGCTGACAGCCAATGTCATACATCACATTAAGAGAATGAAAGAAAAAAATAGAATTATCTTAATAGGCACAGAAATAGCATTTGACAAAATCTAACCCCTTTCATGATAAAAATACTCAACAAAATATGAATAGAAGGGACTTTCCTTAATCTGATAAAGGGTATCTATGAAAAGCCCATGCTGACATCATGGTTAACAGTGACAGAGTGAGTGCTTTGCTCCTCATATCAGAAACAAGACACAGACGGCTGCTTTCACCACTCCTAGTCAACACTGTACTGGAGGGTCTAGCAATAGAAATTATGCAGGGGAGAAAAAAAGAAAAGTATCCAGATTGGAAAGAAGAAAGTAAAACTATTTCTATTCTCAGATGACACGATCTTGTATATAGAAAAGTCTAAGAAGCTAAGGAGCCTGAGGGTTATATGAGCCATATATGTGAACATTAGAGGGACTCAGGATTGTAGTAAAGCTTACAATTAAGAGGAAAAGTGAGCCAAAGGCCAAGGTTTTTGCGAGCCAGGTGCATGGACCAGTAAGGAAGAATTGATACAGCCAAATGCCCTAAGTCTCAAAGGAAAGAGACTGAAGAATACTTCATTGAGAAGTGACAATGAGGAGTAAAGACAAGACCCGACCTCTAAACAGTACAGTACTAGAAGACTAAAAAATAAGAATTCTTCATTTAAGAATGCTACTCGAAAATGAGTACATTTAGGAAAAGAGTTACGTTTCAGTTACAATCAAGAAAATGTAGGAAAAGCGGTCAATATGCAAGCTTGCTAGAATGTGAGAGAATTCCATATAGCATAATGGCAGGTACAGGAAAAAAGGGAGGTCTGGAGAAAAGAGCAGTGTAAGGTTAGGCCAGGTAAAAAGAGCACAGTATTAGGATCAAAATACAGACAGTCCCTGACTTAGGATGGTCCGACTTACAATTTTTCAATTTTATGATGGTGCTAAAGTGATAATGCATTTAGTAGAAACCGTACCCTGAATTCTAAATTTTTATCTTTTCCTGGGCTGGCAATATATGGGGCAATACACTCTCATAATGCAGGGCAGCAGCAGCAAGCCTCAGCTCCCAGTCAGCCACGCAATCACGAGGGTAAACAACCCATACTCCACAGTGTATCCATGATGTTAGACAGCGGTTCTCAACCTGTGGGTTACGACCCCTTTAGGGGTCGAACGACCCTTTCACAGGGGTCGCCTAAGACCATCAGAAAACAAAAAGATATTTACATTACGATTCATAACAGTAGCAAAATTACAGTTATAGAGTAGCAACGAAAATAATGTTATGGTTGGGGGTCACCACAACATGAGGAACTGTATGAAGGGGTCGCGACATTAGGAAGGTTGAGAACTGCTACGTTAGAAGATTTTGCCCAACTGTAGGCTAATGTAAGTGTTCTGAGCATTTAAGGTAGGCTAGGTTAAGCTATGATGTTTGGTAGGTTAGGTGTATTAAGTGCATTTTCGACTTACAGTATTTTCAACTTATGATGAGTTTACCAGGACATAACCTCACCGTAAATTGAGGAGAATCTTTATAGAGGAAGTAGATCACTGGCTCTGAACCTCCAGTCCCCAGTTACAGATAAGACATAATAATCCTTTAATTAACTATGACAATGGCAATGACAGACAGGAATTGAAGGACAGACAGAAAAGGGAACCAGCATTCAAGAAGTCACAGAATGGGAAGAGGGACTGTTACCCCTGTCATATTAAAAAGGCCCTAGGGTCAGTGCATCCAAACTTTTAAAATCAAGGCACAGAAAGAAAACGATAGTTTGAAGGTATGCTGGAGTAAGGCTTGTTTTGGATGAGGACTCTCTCTCTCACACCCATCCCCATAACTAGCTTAGGGGGTCGTGATGTCCCAAACCCCGCACGGCCACCCCAAATCCTGATGAGGATCTATAAACTGGTTAACCTATAACTAGTTATTCATGACAAACTGGTATGCCTCAGCCCACTCACTGGGAAGTTCTATGCTAAGTGAAACAGATTAGAAACCCCCAGAATACCATGTATTTCTCTCTCCTCACTGAGAATTACCAGTGTGGATGATCCACAAATAGCTCATCCCTCAAAACACACTGTACAGGTGAGATTTGTGGTCATATGTTTGGGAAATGGTTACATATTCTTTCACCACCTTTTGTAAAATCATTAATACTAACTATATTTATATATTAAGGCACTGGGGAGTCTGCTATTAAAAAAAAAACCAAAAAACATTTAACTTGAACTTGTCATCCTCCACTCATTTGATCAGAGAATCTCTCTTTTCTATACCTATTGACATCCAGGAATATAGTTTTTAGAAAATGTTGCTTAACTTTCTGACAGTTAATTGGCCTCAGTTGATCATTCCCAGTGACAGAGGTCACTATCTCCAGGTAATTCATTCCACTTTGGACAGTCTGATTAATAGTCTCACTTTAAGCTGAAGTTTGTCACCCTCGACATTTTTGCTATCTAGAGTTAGTAATCACACCTATTTATTCCCCCAAATGACCTAGCAATCCAACTATAAATGCCACACCATCCCATAAAGGGTTTTGCACTTGCTCCTTTTTTTCCATCTGAATACTCATGCTTCTACAGAAACCACTCCTCTGCAATCTCTATAGTCATGTTTTCAGGTCAAGAGTAACTTCCTTATACACCACTGCCCCAGACAAAAACCAGCTGCTGCATGCTCCTGTTGTCCTTAGACGTCACTTTACTGGGGCACCCATCATCACTGCACTGCACAACACTGTATTGTAACTACATGCCTGTCTCGCCCCAGACTCAGCATCCTGGCAGAAGGAAGTATCCACCACTCTTCTTTCCATGGGATGGAAGAAGCACATCATCTTCTACCTAACCGATAGCTGCAATGATTCCAACTGAGTTCAGGCACTGCATAACTCCTTTTATTGTCCTCAAAACAATGTTCCAAGAAGCTATTACCAATCCACAGCTTTCACCTCTCACACAATATCCAAATTCATCTCAGCTTAAGAACTGAGCAGAGTTCAACATACAGGTTCTCAAAGAGTATTTTGTGAAAGGATGAAAAAAATCTTATCTGAAGTATGAGCAAGGGTTCATATTTTAGACTTCTAAATTTTCATACATTAGCCTTAAATTTACCTTCTTATAAACAACCATTAAAGATGAGGAAAGCATAATCTTTATTATAAGCAATAAAGATGATCTTAACATCAGATGTTTGATAGTACCAACTCTCTGATGTCTATTCCTTATCAAAAGCACAGATCTGAGAAGCAAAACAGCTAAAATAATATCTGGAAGGATACATACTGCATGCATTCTTTTTACTCAATTTTATCCTTGCATCAAACTATACCAACAGAAGGATCTTTAGTTGGGCATCACCGTATCATGAACCACTGTAGAACCGCCTTTTCTCACTTGGACTAGAGTTCTCTGTAGCTTGCATTAAAGAACATAAGAAACAGACTTAAGGAATCTGTCATTATATAGTGGACAGCCTGAGACTTGTCCACTAACTATATCACAAGGTATTTTCCTTATAAGAATGCATACAAAGCAACCTCTTTCAGATTTCTGTCTCATAAAAGCCAATCAATTCAGGAGAAACATGTCATTTTTTTTAAGCACGCTGTAACTCATGTAATGGACCATGTTTTGTTCTTTGTTTTGTTGCAAATAATCATAGAACCAATTTTTTTTCTTACTTCAAGAACTATATGTGGCCATGTTTCCCTTCCATTATTTCTTTATTCCAGTTTTATTATTTGTATTGTAAGTTAGCTCCAAAACAACCTCAAATCCCCAGAGGAACAAGATGGGAGAGTGAAAAGGAAAAAAATTAACAACTACCACTAGGACCATACTGTAACACAGATGTGGCTTTAGGCACATTTATCCCTGATCCTTGAACAGTGACAAAGAAATACAAACTACGTTCTACAGATGGGAAATGAAGTAGAGAGGGGTTAAATACATTATCTGAGCTCACAAAGCTAATTTGTGCCAGGCCAGGGTTTGATCCTAGCCACATTACACATTTGGTCTGATCAAATTAAAGACTATGTTACACTTCAAAAAGGAAAAGGATTCTAGCATTGTACAGTACCTTCTTTTGTTTCTAATAGTGCTTGAAGAATTTCAAATTTTAAATTTATTATATGAGCCAAAGAAGACAAATCACTTGGCACTAATTTTACATATTACTTAAATAATAATGTTTAACAAAGTCAACATTTAATCATTCCCAAATGAGAACCGGAAAAATCACACCAAAATTTAAAGTCCAAATAGTAGACATAAATAAAATATGTATATTTATGATAAAGTTTGAAAAAAACGCTTGGGCCAAAGGAAAAAAAATTAGACATATTATTCCAATTAGTACCACATATAACTTGCAATGTTTTTGGTATCTTTAAAAACCAGATCCCAAAAATGGTTTGGGGGGGACGGGGGGAAATTACGATTCAAAATTACTCAGAAGATACAAAATTAAGACTCACCTGCTCAAGTCACTTTTTCCATGGTTATGATAGTGGTCAGGATGGCTGAGGTGATAATGTTCCTGTCCACTCCACCTCTGGGGTGGCCTTTTCCAAAATCCTTCCTGAGACTGCCGAATATTTCTGTCTGATCGATCAAAACGGTTCATATTGTCACATTCCACTAGACAGATTCAAAAGCAAAACATTATAAACATGTACACACTCTATAAAAGTTAACTACTTGTAGCTTGATAAGTAAATGCTGCTGAAAATATAAAAGTAATATTCTAAAAAATACCAGTCATTTATGTTAGCTCATCAAAAAAATAAATCAAGGTTTCCAGAAGAAAAATAACCAGCTCTTCGGTAAAAACTGAAGTGTATATTATTCAAACTTAAGTAATTATAAAACTTTCATATCACAGTCACCTAAAGTAACAATGTTCCCACTGTTTTAAAACAAGCAAATTATATTTGAAATCAACATTATACATTTTAAATACCAGTAATCAATTTCATAGTGGTTTTCATCATTATCACTTGTTGGTTCTGACTTCAGAATGAAAGTGATAAGAAAAATAAGATTTTACATCTAGTAGAGAATTCATTCCTCAAAATGAATGTCACAACTAATTTTCCCAGATTTCACGAAGCACAAATTAACTTTTCATCAAAAACGAATCATATTTTTTAAATTAAGCTCACAGTTTTAGAAAGACGCTTCAATCTGCCTGCAGTAGAGCTTGTTCAAAAAGTCTAAAATGCCACTGAAAACAAAGCCAGTACTTTGCAGCAACAAATAGTACACTCCCTGAAATCCAAATGCCACAAAAGCACGAAAAGAATCTCTTTGAAACACCCCAAGCTTCTCCTTCACTTACCCAAACACTTTGTCCTCACATATCTGAGCACTCACTAGGAGAGTTACTTTGTACAAGGGAGACATTGTGTCGCCTGCTGCCTACTCAGACATAGTTGCACACAAGGCACTGACAAACAGGCCTTCCTTCCTGCCGGCTCCCAGCCCTCCCTGTGGGAAGCACGCCCAGTTTACCCTGTGACTCCATCTTCGCTCACTGCTTACATAGCTACTGAGTTAGGACTGTTACTAAAAATACAACCCAACACTAACCCAAGCCAGGAACTGGAAAGGTTTCTCTAGTCTGGGAATTATTACATGAGAAAGTTCAAATTCTGCATGTTCAGAATTCCTTGTGATAAAAAAAGCTTTAGCAATCAATGCAATCCCCAATTTAAAAAAAAAAGAAACACATTTAAATGATTGTTTTCACTTAACCTAAAACCTGAATTTGAAATGTGAAAACTGTTTCATTAGTTTTTAAAAAAAACTTAAAATACTTCCTCATTCCCAAAAAAAGATGACGTAAAGTATGGATGTTCAATTCTTATATATACTAGAATCACTGTAACATATTTCTTCTAAATGCATAACAATTTAAATAAGGTTTTAAAAGGCATTAAAATTTTGGTTAAATTCATTACAGGAATCAATTTTAGGAAAAACTATGTTTTCTGTTTTTTTAAAAAACTTTTTAATGAAAAGAATGTTTAAGAAGTCTTACATTTGAAATTATTTCAAACAATTTCTTGTAATCTTATTAAGATAAATTAAGATCTATTTTTTCAAGTTCAATTATAGAAAACCTGGCTGCTAGACAGATACATGAAGGCATGGTGACCATTATGCTGAAAAAAAAAATCATGAGTAGAAAATGAGACTGCAAAAGAAAATAAAGTAAAAAATAACCCTAAGAAGGCTTAAACTGCTTTTAGTTCACATCTGTATTATACTCATAGACTTGGTTAAGTTCCTTAAGTATTTCTACATAATGTTAAAATGTTACTTTAGTTTAAGCAACTCTTATAGCTGAGGAATAACCTATATCTACTTTTAAATGTTCTGAATTCATATTTTTTTTAACTCAGGCAGAAACAATTCTACTCGTTCCCCTAACAAACAATTCTGTTAAAATAAGAAACTGATGTGTAATTAGGATATCATCAACACAGAGCACACAGAGTAACAGGAAAGCAAACAAATCAGGCAAATAGGACAAGAGATGGGGTTGAATACTGAGGAAAATTACAAGGCAGAAATTATCATGCTGCTTTTGTGTGTGCTAACGGTTGTTGGTACTACGAACAGCCCTCAAATTAAAGCAACTTTACTGAAACATGAACTCGAACATGGGCAAAATGGCAAATAAGCACTAGAAACAAACATTTGCAAGACCACAAAAGACTACTGGTAGAAAATGAGACAGAAGGGGCTTACTTCTAAGAGATATGACTGCTCTAAGACTCTGCAGGAAGGGTTCTGTTTATACTCCTACCTGAGGCTTCCAGCAATCATGGGTCTACATATTTTAAAATGTTATCAAGAACATAATGTGAAATAACATTAGCGGTGGTTTCTTAGAAAAGGTTAAGTGTTCTCTGACAAAATTAAAGAAATAATATAGAAAAGAAAATGAAAAGCAAATAAAATTACAAGATGGAGATAAATCAAAACCAGTTTCCAGAGCCAATGAAGGAACAGAACAAATAAGACTAAGAAAGGAAATAAATCCCTTTTATTTCGGGATCGATGGGGCGAACCTAACGGCATCCCAGTTTGAAAAAGTTTTAACCCAGTACGCTGATCAAAACCATCAGCACACCAGATGTGGCCCTGACTATGAAATTAGGACTGGAGAAAAAGGCCTTCTGAAGGAGGTTTCCCAGCTACAGACATAAAAGGGAGAAGATTTTGGTATGTAGTTATTTCATTATGAGTAGGAGACAGAGAGATAATACCAAGACTTTTACCCTCTGGAGAGAAAAAGCTGAGGTATGGGATGTAGGGATGCCTATGTCTAACATTCTTCACATCCCTTTCTTATGATTTGATAAAGGAACAAAATATGACACCAAGAGCTACCTAGAGGATTTCTCTGGTAACTTGTCCTAAGAAGGTAATGGATGACACAGGTACTATCTCCACCTGTGACTAACAATTGGCAATGAAGATAGTGGGAAAAATTACACATCACAAAGCCTGGAAAAAAAATGTGTTTTGCAGGAGGTTTTACAAATCTGTTCAGAAAAGCTTTTAACTGAAATTTGGCTTGAAAGAAGAAAAGTTTGTGTTAAAAGAAAAAAAAACAACAAAAAAAAGCCATGAATCTTGTTATTACTAAACACAATTAACAATGAAAAAATACAAATACATTTCCAGAAGAAAATACAGTAATTGGAAAGTGGTCAAGGACAATACTACAAACCTCATATAACTATATTGCAATAAAAAGTTTAGTAAAAATGTGGCCGTAGGAAAAATAACATGAAATAAGGGCAATTTAGTAGGCACCATAACTTGGTTTGGGGTGGGATTCAGGAAGTAAACAGACATCTTTTTAACACAGAAAAGTTTAAAATCAAGAGTTAGTAGAAGAAACAGCACATGTAAGAAGGGCACTATGGAAATTCTATAAACCTAAGTATTATACTATGAATGTGCCAAATGCTGGGCTTTAAATTATAGGAAATGAGTGACTATTAGAAAGTCCTGAGCAAGAGAATAAAGCAACACAACTGTGCTTTTGCTATAACAAAATTGTTCATTTAGGAGACACTTTACAACAAATCTCAAATACTCAATGGTCTACCAAAATTAATTCAGATTCCAAAATTGCTTCCTTAAGAGATTCCTTGACCAAGGTAAAAGAAAAATAGAAAAGAATTAAAACAATTTATCTTTTGGGGCCGGCTGAGAGGCGCGTTGGTTAAGAGCTGGCTTGGGATGCCAGCTCTGAGCAGCAAGGCCCCGGTTCAGATCCCACATTAGGGCCAGTGATGCTGCGCCCTCTACAGCTAAGATGGTGAACAACAGCTTGACCTGGAGCTGGCCTGCTGAGAGTCGCCGGCAACGGCATAGGCTGCAGTGAGGCTGCAGTGGACTCCTGTAAGCTACGGTGAGTGGTCACCAGCCAGTGTGAGTGGCCGGCAGATGGCGTGAGCTGCCAAGAGCCGCCGCGAGTTGACAGCAACCGATCTGCCTCACCTGGGAAGAGCGCAATGATAATACCAACATGGCCCAGTGAAGTGACATCCTCCACAACTAGACTGAAGAGCAAAAGGACAGACACTGTCTGTTCCCCTTTCCAGATTTCTCAATAAAATCTTAAAAAAAAAAAAAGTATCTTTTATATCCTCCCGAATCTCAACTCAAACCTAAAGTCCTATTATTCCTCTTCCCTCATTGCTATGCTTCTCAATTTCTCTCTGCTCAATCTCTCCCTTTGACCTGTTTCTCCCAAGCTGGCCAGAAACTTGTAAAGTTCAATACCTCTTAGAGTTAAACCTCCTTCAGAAGAGGCAAAACCTCTTAAGGTTGATTTTAAGACCTGGAGTCTCATTCTGAGCTGAGAGCCAGTGATTGCTACATACTTTCTAAGGTCTAAACCAGATTAGGGGAAATTTGCAGAAGAATTTAGAATAGTGTTAGGAATTGATGATCCAGAGTTCCCAGAGATACACCAACTAGTTCATACGTTAGAGGGAAGTCCAGGAGCAAAAAATAGAATGGAGAAGGCACAGTGTGAAGAACCTGAAAGTAACTTAGGAACCCATGATGGTGTAGAGGAAGAAAACGTTTTCCTCAGCCCTTTTAGGTTCTGAAAATAAAGCACTCAACAGATTAACAGGAGAAAAGCATAAAGTATATGTAATATGTGTAATGGGGCCTTCATAAGGAAATGAAGACTCAAAGAACCTTTAGACTTGTGTGTTTTTATGGTACTTTTGATGACGAATGCAGTTACAGAAGAATATGACAGGTTAAGGAGAATGAGGTAACTGTAGTAAACCTAAACTAAGGGAAACTTAGCATGGCCTGCTAACATTCTTCTTAGTGTCCCTCTGTCTTCAGAGATGAGGCTGTAAAGGGAGGGCGACTCATTGGAGGGTTTTATGACCTGTTTCAGGGGAGAAGTGGGGGGAGGGGTGGACAGAGGTCAGAGTGACTTTCCTGCTTCTGCCATTTTCTTAAATTCTTTCAGCTTAAAATATTCAGTTTGCCAGGGCGCCATATTTTGGGGTAATGTGTCCTGAATTCAAATGCAGAGAAAACAAAAAGAGGTTAAAAGAGGCCTTTCAGAGGCTGTCAACAAAGTCTTTTTCTGTGAACACAGATTGGGCTCTGATTCAATTCTGTTTATTTTTAAGTAAAGAAAAGATAAATTCACTTCAGACTTCAAGGATAGACTAACACCACTAGAGAACATTCAAGAGTAGATTCAGAAAGAGATGTGACCCTATCTTTCTCCTCACTTTCCGTAAAAGATTTTAAGGCAGATATACCTTAAATAGCCTCACTGACAGACTTCCAGTGCTTGGAAAGAGCCTTAAAAAAAGCAGTAGACTCAGAATAAAATGATGTCCTTCACATGTAAACAACTAGATGCCTCCATCAGTCAATTAAACACTGGAAGAAGGAGCCTCTTAATACATTTATAGATACTATAAAGAGCAGGGCATTTGAAAAATAAGTGTCTTCCATTGCATTAAGAAATAATAGAGAAAAAAATAAAGTGGGTGATTAAAGTATTCTCAGGGAGAAATCAAACACTCAATTTCTGGTTTTACCCCCTTAAACTCAAAGATAAATTTCTCTAAATAGTAAAGGACAATCCTGAACATGTTTTATTGATACAGATATTACAATATCAACCTTAAAGCCTACTGTTGCATAACCTCCCCCTTACTGTCACCAAACCACTCAGTGTAGGTATCTCCAATAACTCTTAAAATAGCTCCCAAATCCTACCCTTAACTGTCCAAAAAACATTTGACCAACAAACATTCTTTCCTTGTCTGTGCTATACCACACACGCTGGCTTCATAGGTAATTATTTACAAATACAATTGCCAGATTAATATTTTCGTCATGGCCTCGCCCTTGAAATCACAGAAGAGCCCCCTATTCATAATAAAGTCATAGCAAACTTGTGTCCAAATTTAAGATCTCAGTGAAGTGCCAGTCATCTTCTTTGCAAAAACTCTACTAAGTTTGGCAGAAATAGTGAGCTGAACCCATCAAGGTTCAGAATGAGCCATCTAAAAATCTCTACCCAAATTTGCATTCGAGCCTCAAAAAACAGAATCTAAAGGGTACTAAAATTAATAGTCAAAAGACTATTAGAAGACTCCTTAAACCTTATACCAGTCCTTGTAACATTCCCATCCTCCCAATCAAAAAACCCAGCAGGTGGGGATAGTGTCATTCAGGACCTCTGCAGTACCAAACCTCAATAATAGTTTATCTTTGGTGCCTCTGAATATAACACATTTTAGATCCATGATCTGCTTTCTTCAGCGTCCACTAGCTCAAAATAGTCAATACTTGTTCGTGTTCTAGGAAAATCTGTAATATATGTGAAAGATACCTCAGGAGTTCCCGCAAACTTTTCACAAGTCTCCAACCAAGACATCAAAGACTAAATTTCCCTGCAATTCTTTTATCTAATACATGGATAACTTTTTGCTGTGCTCTAAAGATGAGGTAGGCTCTAAGACCAATTCCATATCTCCACGTCCCGTTTTAGCTCAGAAATGGTATAAGGTTTCCAAAGGAAAGTGGTTATAATTCTAAGTAAAACGCATTATTTAGAATGTGATTTATTCCAAGGAGGTAAATCCCTCATTCCTCACTACCAGCCCTTAAAACTTCACATTAAATCTCCTAGACCATATAGTCTCATTATTTCCCCCCCTATAATTATCAATGCTTTATGTTTTTACTGTGTTCCACATATTTTTCTGCTTGATCTTCCAGACTACTAATTCAGATTTCAACAGCAGCTATGCTTTCTGTCATCTACTGAACTGTTCTGTGGGGAAAACTTCTTTTATGGCTTCAGAAAGCATTATACTGTGATTAATTCTCCCTAAGTGCTCTCATTATTGTTTCCTTGGGTCACAATTCTGCGAGTTCTGTGGTTTTCCCTGGTCTTCTTCCTGGGCGTTGACTGTGATTTTTCTTTCACAGTTGATTGGAACTCAGCCCTAGTTGCTGGAGCATCCCAAGTGACAAAAGAACCACAGAAGGTGCAACGGTCTCCACCCCAGTGGTAGAGCAGGTATTGTTCTCAGGTCTTCACCCTCTCATTAACAGAATTAAATATCCAATGTGCTCTGCTGCAGAGCATCTCAGTGTGAACACAGTGCACCTCTTAATCCCACCGCTGTAGAATTGTGTTGGCTCTCAGTGAAGACTTTAAAAGATATCATGTGCATGTTTCTGCTCACCCTATTGTCCTTCTGCCATCTGCATGAGAACAACCTGCTCCAAGTAATGCTGGTCTCAAAATGAAGAAACAAGTACACCTGAACTCAGTCTCACAGCCTAAGCAGTCCAGGCTTATTCACATACCAGTAAAAGAGAAAAATAAATGTCTATTTTGAAAGCCACTGAGATTTTGAGATTGATTGTTACAGAGCATCCTGGCAGTATAAAATAAAATAAAATAAAGCCACATCAATATGACAAATGTGAGCAGCTAAAGGTTCCTAGTACCTCAATGATACACTAAGAACAAACACCTACCCTCTCTGAAATATCCTTGCAGTTTTCTAGCATCATGTATACAAAGGACTTCACCACAGTTTTTAGTTCATCCCTGGTCCCTGGGAGGCCCGAGAAACCATGTAAATGTTGACTGACAGGGAATCCACAGATCTCTGGAGCCATTCCTCTCCCCAAAAGGATTCCCATTTCAACCCTTGTCCCAGGGGCTTTCCTAGGCTGATCTCTGGTTCTCGATCAGGCCCTAAGATAGAAAATCCTACAAATGCTATGTCAGGGGAGGTAGGAGCACCCAGGCCCCTCTTGCATATGGATTATCTAAAGCTCCACTCCAGCAGTTACTAGGATCTACAGAGGAAGACAGGCTGGATTTGGAAGTAAAATGGTAGAATGAGGAACCAGTCAAGATGGCAGAGTAGGTAAACAGTGTGCTCACCTCCTCTCGCGACCACATCAAAATTCCAACTAAACCACAGAACAATGATCACTGAGAATCACGTGAAGTCTAGCTGAACCGAAGCCCTACAACTAAGGACATACAGAAGAAGCCACCTGGAGACAGGTAGGAGGGACAGAGACATGGAATGGGCTGGTCCCACACCCGCATGTGACCATTAAAATTCAGGAGGGATATCTTGGCTGTGGAGGTTCCTCCCATTTTGTTTAGTAATCCCACTTCTGGGTATTTATGCGAAGAAACCCAAAATGCTACTTCGAGGAGATATGTGCATCCATATGTTCATTGCAACACTGTTTACAATAGGCAAGGTGTGGAGGCAGCCTGGGTGTCTGTCAGTGGATTAATGGATAAAGAGGAGGTGGTACATAAATACAATGGAATATTGCTCAGCCAGGGAACGGAATGGGTTTTTGCCACCTATGGGGGCATGGATGGACCTGGAGGGTGTTGTGCTGAGTGGAGTATGTCAGACAGAGAAAGACTGATGCAATGTGATTCACTTATATGTGGAAACTAAAGAACAAAATAAACAAGCAAACAAAACAGAAACAAACTCATAAATACACAGTACATTTTGATGGTTGCCAGGCAGAAAGGAGTTTAGGGGGTTGGTGAAAAGGGGAAGGGATTAAGAAGTATAAATTGGTAGTTACAAAACAGTCATGGGGATATAAAGTAAAGCACAGGGAATATAGTCAATAATGTGGTAATAACTATGTATAGTGTCAGGTGGGTACTAGAGAAGTACCTACCGGGGGATCACTTCTTAAATAATATAAATGCCTTACCATTATGCTGTACACCTAAAATTAACATAATATTAAGTATCAATTATAATTAAAAATGTTTTAAAGGCAGAAAAGGTGAAGGGGAGTAACAGGTTAAAAAAAAAAAAGAGCCAAATGATTTATTCAGAAGATCACCATTTTCCTAGAATTGATCTTAAAATATTTTTCAAATTAACGATTTTTACTGATATTTCATAAATCATTACATTTGCTTCTCTAAATGTATTTCTTCTTAGAATCAAAATGAGATAATGGGAGGAAAAATTGGGTATGTATATAGGAAAAAAAGGCCAAATCCTATCTACCATTTACTTTATGATATAGGTATATAATTTTATTGCATCATAAAGAAATTATATCTAATAACTAAAAAATCAGGTTTAAACACTTAATAAATTTACAATGAACTCATTTAACATCTCTTAAGATTGATTCTAAGCCTGAAAAGGCTTCCTTTTCAGATTGAACTTGAGAAATCTGTAAATAACAAATATCAAATTGGCTATAGTCAACTAGTTTAATTATACGCCTCTGGAGGTTCCATATTGTCCCCACTTACCATTTTCAAGAGGTGCATCCTCAGGCAGATCCACATCAAGCATAAGGTCATCATCCTCAAGGTCACATGATTCAAGATTATTCAGAATATCCTGTAAACAAAAGCAGTAAAAATGTTATAATCTAGCTCAAGGCTGTATGTAATCATGAGTTGTGAAAACAAGACTATGTTAATCTGAATTTACTCAATTTTTGTGTTGTACAGATAAATTTTAGAAGTAAAAAAATAGATTGAGGGGCCAGCCGAGTGGCTCACTGGTTAAGAGTTGGCTTGGTAGCGTGAGCTCTGAGCAGCAGGGCCGTCGGTTCGGATCCCACATGGGCCAGTAATGCTGCGCCCTCTACAGCTAAGATGGTGAAAGACAGCTCGACCTGGAGCTGGGCTGCCGGGAGCTGCCATGAGCAACCGTCCAACGGCCGGTGACCAATCTGCCTCATCCAGGAAGAGCGCAATGATCACAATACCAACATGAGCCAGTGAAGCGACGTCCTCCACAACTAGACTGAAGAACAAAAGGACAGCAACTTGTCTGTTCCCCTTCCCTNGTGAGTCGCTGGTGATGGCGTAGGCTGCAGTGGGGCTGCAGTGAGCTGCCGTGAGCCACTGTGACTGGCCATCTAATGGCCGGTGAGCGACTGCCTCATCCAGGAAGAGCACAATGACAATACCAACATGAGCCAGTGAAGCGACGTCCTCCACAACTAGACTGAAGAACAAAAGGACAGCAACTTGTCTGTTCCCCTTCCCTGATTCCCCAATGCTGTTCTCTACCCCAATACCCCAATAAAATCTTTAAAAAAAAATAGATTGAACTGTTTTATCTGATTAAGCTTTTTGTAACATCCTTCTCCTAGTCTTTCACTCCCACCAGATTTTGTTTTGAAAAACACAGTGCTCACTATCTGCCAGACACTGTTCTAAGCACTTTACAAACATTCGTTTATTTAAGCTTTAACATCACCCTATGACTTCATGACTAGTGCAATTCCCATAGTCTATGTGCTGAAATTAATGCACAGAGAGCCTAAACCCTGGCCAATGCAGGACACGAACATAGGCAGTCTGTCTCCTGCGTCCATGCGTTTAACAGCTCCCCTGGCAACGTGAATAATCAAAATTAGTCAAGTATCTCCCAAAATTTATTCGTATTTGGTGTGGGAGGCTGTGTTTTATTATATCTAGGGATTGGACTACTTATGCAAAAACAACAAAATAGGCCTTTAACGATGTGATTATTCCACTCCTTTCCTGTGCCAAACCTGCATACTACTGTTTTCAGCACCACAACCAACTCCTCGATTTGCCTTAAGTTATTATTTTTCTATAACAGAACTGGAGCTGTAGAATTGGTACAAGTACACCCTCCTGTGTTCTATTTGCAACCTTGCTAGCTATCATCTATCCCTAGAAAATTAATATTTTGTTTTCAAAGACTCTTGTTCTAAAGTCTAAATAACTAATAAATGAACAAAAACTAAGTTTAAGGTAAACTCAGTTTGACTTATAGCCCACTAGTGGATCCTTCCAATCTAAGAACTGATCCAATACTGCAAGATCGGTCGGTCCCCAGTATATATAAGAAGATCCTAAATCCACAAATTTTTAAATGACTTAGATTATGGCCTTAAAAAACTCTTATAGAAAGGGAGTATCTACATTATTACAGATAATATGAATAAAATCAGAATTGTTCCCTATTTCGGGTATTTCATCCAAATCTTTTCAATTTTGTGTTACTGGGCCTTCTTTCCAGGATCCATTGAGAACTGAAATAACTGTAATTATTAAATTACAACAACAAAAAACCTCTGCATAATTATTTAACCTTGGCACAAGAAAGGTATTTATTTCTTAGAACCTCTTTTGATCATGAAAGATTTGCTATCCTTAATACAGTCTTCCTAAAAAATCAAGAAAAAAGATGAACATGAAAAAAATTGGCATTGGCCATAATGGACAGTTCACAAAATAAATATAAAATAAATGGCCAATAAATATGATGTAGGAAAGAATGCTAACACCAATGTTGGTTTATCATGACTGAGAGAAATCTAGTACTCATCTATACTCCAGAGAGGATTAGATTCATATAAACTTTCTGGAGGCCAGTTTGCCAAAATTTAGCTAAAACTTTCTTTTTAAAGGTAAGGTTTCTTTCCTAAGAATTTATACCTTAGTAATAAACAAACAAATGCAGAAAATGCATGCATAAGTATGGTTACTGCAGCATTGTTCAGAATGGTAAAAAAGTAGAAATAGCCTAAGTGCCCAACAATAGAAAAATGGTTAAACAGAAAGTATGATATAGTGATACAACAATATTACATTGTAAGTTAAAAAAAAAAGATAATAAAAATATATTTATAGACATAGAAAGATGTTAATTGCAGAAAAAACAGACTGGGTTGTTTCTAATCTTTTGCTCTTAAAAATAATGTTTCAGTAAATCTTTATAAGTCAAAAGTAAACTGAAATAAATGAATCTAACTTGTATCACGTTGTTGGCATAACACTTAGATAGAAACTATTTCAAGTGGGGGAAAAATCCTCAAACTATTTTTGGTAATTGTAATATGGATGGTAGTACAGTTATTACTCTGAGATGACTGTGTATACATGGGTATAAATGAAAGGAGTTGTATTGGTGTTTGTTGAAAAATGGATTCTCACCTTAGGAAAAAGTTTAAATGTGAAAAACAATGAAATTAAATAAAAACTATGTTCCTGAATATAAGTAGTATAAGGAAGTATCAGTATTAACACAAGGTATTTTTCATCTTAAATAAATATCTCTAACACTACAAATTCTGTACAGAATTATCCATTTTTTGAAAAAACAAATTCATTGTATAAAATGCATTCAAAAAAGTTGGAAGGAAACCAAAACACAGGTTAACTTTCTATTTTAGGATTATGGGGTTTTTTTTTCTTTTTTCATTTAGAGTAGCTGTATTTTCTCATTTTCTTCAATAAGCATTGACTTTCATACATTTACCCCCCAAAATCATATGCTCTATAAAAACATTTGACTATGTATGCATAAATATGTGTGAAACAAGATGATGCTGGGTGCCCCAGGCCAGATCTGACAACCAAGGACACAGCAAAGCATCAACAATAATAGGACCTCACTTTCTGTCCAAAGCAGGGCTGGCTGAGACTCACCGATCAGCAAACAGAGCACTGCCACCACTGCCCAAAAGGTGTTCAACGTCTAATAACTAAACTCTACATTTGTTTTGTGCAGTTTTCTGTGAGTTTCATTTTATACTGAAAGATTTAAAAAAACAGTCTTAAAGAATGGGAATGAGCCTGTTCTAACGAATGTAAAAGTGATGGAATAATTAAATGATTTTGAAAGAAGTTACTAAGAAAGCCCAGTGGAAAAGGGAAGCACAATTAGCAATAGTTACAGGGAGAAAGGGAGAGAAAATCATCCATATTTATGCTTCAAGTTAACATTCGTCAATAAATCATTATATATGAAGTTTCAGAAATTTTTACAGTAACATGGAAAGAAGCTATGTAAAATGGGGGTGGGAGGAGAAGCATAATATGACTCCATCGTTAATGCTGAAAACTACATTTAAATATCTAAATGATGATAAACCAAAGAACTGTTACGATTTCCCATACATGAGATGATATGTGCTCCTGTTCTTTACATTCTTTTCGTTTTTTTCTAAAATAAGGACATAATGCTTTTATAATATGCAAAATTTTATGTTGGAAAAAATCTACCTCTCTTGGCATCAACAGGCAAGTTCAAACCACACAAACATAGCCCACTCCTGGGAACCCTGAACCTAGCCCATCCTTAACCACAATAAAAAACAGAGCTACTTACCCCTCCCGCCTACACTCAAGCTATTCTGGACTGGTTTTGGTACCTGTCATGCTCTCCCCAGAAAAATCTCATTATGTGAGTAATAAATCTTTCACACTCTCTTATTATAATATGTGCGGCACCATTGGTCCTGGCATCCAAACAAATTTTGGGGGAGAGGAGTTGACCCCGCCCCTTTATGTGGCAACCATAAGATAATAATTCAATAATTCAACACAGATAAAAAACGAGGCACAATTCTGGGCACAGGATATACCCATGTAAAAAGACAATCTTTATCTTTGTCAAGAGTTTAAATAAACTACTCCATGATACTACTGCCTTGGCATACATGCCCCAGATAACAGCCCTCCAGTGCCAAGCAAATGGAAGTTCCTGATACAACTTCCCCAGAAGCCCTTGTGAGCAACAGTCTCCCCACCTCCCAGGGCCTTCCCCTTGTGCATCCCTTGAAGAAGACCCCTGTGGAGCTTACCAAAACCCAGCTCTTTTTTGTTTGAATTGACCCACACAGCCTTAGCTCAAGAACCCCAAACACTCCAGCCACAGACCCTAATGAAGGCACATGCCCCAGGTCCTACCACTCTATCTGCACTGGGATGGCCCTTTGAGGCATGCTGTGTACCTTCCCATGTGGCCCCCAGGTGGATGTCATGTACTTCTTCCAGGATCTAGTAGTAACCAACTTCTCTATTTCCATTTCCCTTGTGGTCTATTGTTGAATTGGGGTTCACCATCCAACAGCCCAGAGTTCTACTTAACAAATGTTAGTTTAATCAAGTCACAACAACCCTTCAAGACGACTTGTCTCCCCTCAGTTGCTTTACAGCATGATCATTGCACAGGTGCCATAAGAGCACACTGGATGGATATCTAGGTTTGGCAAGTCAGAGACAAGCTAAAACAACCTAAAAGCCAAGTCAGAGACAACTGAAAGAGAAACCAAATGTGGCCTCTAGAACATGAAAGAGGAAAATACTTTCTACATAAACAATACTGTTAAGGGCAAGGAAGCAAAAAATATAACCTATTTCAAGTGTTTGCAAAAGTTTTTTAAAGGACGGGAAGCAAACACTTTAGACTTTGCAGGCCTACAGACAAAATCGAGCATATTATGTAGGTAATTATATAGCCATTTAAAGTGTAACCACTTGAAATGTAAAAAATATAGTCTGCAGGCTGTGAAAAAACTGGTGGTTGGTCAGATATAACTTACAGGATACAGTTTGCTGACCTGCTCTATT